TACTTTCCATTACCCAGCACAAGAAGATTCAAAAGAAGCACAAAATATTATGCAGGTGGATTTGAATGTTTCAAGTTTGAGGAACATTGCCACGTTCCTTGGGTGCCCCCTGCAGGCATAGACCCAAATTGCCCGGTGATAGTGGGGGTTTCCTCCTTCCTGTCCCCACCCTTCATGGCCAGCATGGAAAAGTAATCTCCTAAGATTTCCCCTTGAAGTCTGAGAACTGGGAGCCTGGATCAGAAGTGGCAGGGTTTGGAGGACTCCCACGCATGTACTGCTATGAAATGATGCGATGAGCACATTATCACTTTGTGACAGAATCTAAATTAAGCCGGGACGTGTCTGCACAATTTTGTAGCTTACATGTCATTTCAAATAAGTGTTCCCTCCACCCTCGATTTTCCAGTCAACATACTTACCATTTCTTTCCTTATACCTTCCTCATGGAGTTTTTGTGCTGGTGGTTACATAGTTCTTTACTATTACTTTATGAGTTCTTTTTGGTGTGATCAATAGCATTTACACTAATGACACTTTGCTGTGTAATTTACTTATGTATTTTGGTGATGGTCTGCCTCTTATCACTAGAATGTAAGCTGCATGAGGACAGGGAACTTTGTCTATTTTTTTTTAAGTGCTGTATCTCCAGTGCCTGGCACCTGCCCTTCTTGGTCCAGTCAACATGCCATCACTTCCAGAGTCCTTGTTGACCACTCCAGACACAAATTCTTCCTCCCTAGATGTGTCCCAGGGCTGCAGCTCTAATGCTGTAATTTGTGATGATGTATGTTTGCCAGTCATAAGCCCCACGGAGCCAAGCACCTTCTCTGATTCATTTTTCTATTTGTAATAGCATCTAGCATGGCATAAATTTCAAACAGATACACACATACACACACCCTCATTTAGGTGTGTTAGCACAGAAGCCTTGGGGTTACAAGTTCATGTACCTAGAGGGCCTGACAGGTAAGCACATGGATGAGGCAGGCAGTGCACATGTACCTGTGTGTGCCCCATGAGGAGAGATCTGCAGGGCCCTGGAGAGGACATGCTAACTAAATGGGCCATGCCGAATCTGCATCAGCATCTGCTGTCATGCAGGGATGCAGGCACAATGTCACCAGGACTCCAATTTTACAAACTCAAGCAAAACTAAAAATGTGATTTTATTGAGTGAAATCACCCAATTTTCAAATATTGGTTCAATTAACGAGAAGTACAGCATGGGTCAAATAAAATATAACTTGGATCCAGTCAGTAGTTGGCCAGTTTTCATCCTGGTGTCTTCATTCACCCTTGGTCGGGAGAGTACGTTCAAGTGGTCATTGGTGATTTTCCTTCCTGATCTGCAGCCTCCAAATGCTTCCACTCATACTCCAGTCTTCTTCCTTTCACTGGCCCAAAGAGCTAGAGACAGTCCCCAGCTGGAAAAAGAACCAGAAGCAAAGGCTGGAAATGCTCAATATTAAGGAAGTGAAAGGATGCTAAGCAGAAGATGTGCAAGTCCCCATGCACGCATCCTTGCAGAATTGGTTTTCCTGCTAGGTGGGAGATTAGCTCAAAGGATACCAAGGGCTGGGGAGAGGACGGGGCCAGGGGAGAAACAGAGGGAGAAGGAGACCCTCTGAGGCAGGGCTGCAATCAGCCCACTATCCTCTGTCCAGTTAAGTGACACTGCCCTGTGTCCTGAGACTCTGCCCAGCCCCTTTTCTCACTGCCTTTGTGTGCCCTTGTGTGAAGACCTAATGCTTGGAGAAGCACCAGCCATCCTGTGACGATGGGAAGGCCAGGAATCCCACAGAGCAACTGAACTGAGAGCAATGGCTTCTTTGAGCTGCTGATCCAGGCCAGCCACCCCTACCTCCACGTCATTTGTTAGAGGAAACAATGGCCCTGGTGCACAAGCCACTCTCAGCCAGCCCTTCTGTCCTCGCAGCCAAGTATTTCCTGATGTGACTTCTCGGCCCATGATAAGCAGTCCGACCAAGGCAGGCTTCTCAGTGCTTCCCGGTGGCACACGTATTAGCATGTGGACCAATTTAATCTTAAATACCTAAGAGAATCTACTTCAACCACCCTTCAGCCTGCCATAATATGCATTTCCAGCCTATCTTATGAGCCTCGGTCTCAGACAGCACCTAACAATGTGTCACTTTAGAGCCTCTCTGTTTCACCTGCCACACCCCTTTGGCTCCCACAGTGGCCAGCTCCACCCGGGACATGGTGTGGGGACTTCAGGTGTGTGGACGCCAACAGAGCCGCTCCTCATTCCAGTGTCCTGCGCTTATACGTCGCGACCTTCACCTGGGCCTTCCCAGTTGACTGTGGAGGACAGAGAGGCTGTGGAGCCTCCGCCAGCAGCCTGGGAGCACATGGGAGTCAGCTGTTCCTGGGGCCAGCTCTTGGATGGGAGGAGGGAATTGGCAGATGAAGTCTTCCCCCATTTCCTTCATCTCGAGTCCTGATTAGAGGACAGTACCCAGAGATGGGGCAACCAGTTGTGCTTGTCATCAAGCTGAGGCAGGCTGGGTGAAGCCTCCCTGTACTGGCTGTCCTGCCTTCCCCGACCTGCCTCGTTCCCCTTTTCTGCACTCCTGCTGCCCAGATGGCGCCTTCATGAGGAAGTCGCTAAGCCTGTGCCCCGGGCTCTGCTCTATAAAATCCAGACCAGGATGGCTTCCACCCACTGTCACTGTTCTCTCTCAGGACACCTTCCAATCTCCACACAGCTAACCTGGAGCCACAGTCTAAAAAGACAGCACTAACGCAGCCTGGTGGTAGTGAATATTCACCCTGAGCAGGGGGAGTTCTTCAGAGAAGTTCTGAAAGATCCTACCTGGGCAGAGGCATTTTAGAGGTAACTGGGCCTAATGGAGAATGTAATTAGGTAACATTTACTGAGAGCTTACAGTGTAATTTATTTACACAGATTATCTGTTCTATTCCTCGCAACAATCCTATCAGGGAGGTATTATTTTTGCCATGAAAGTAACTTGTGCAGTATCAAAACTAGGCGTGATCTGCACCTGGGTGGTCTGGCTCCAGCACGCCCTGTAAAGGGTTTTAAACACTCTGCTCGTGCAGCAAGCGAGCTGGTGTGAGTTCAGTCTCCACCAGGAGCTGCTCATCCTGGACACATCCAACTCCACACATGACGCATCGTGATGTGTGAAGCCTGGTGCCAGGTTGACCAGTGTTCAAACCCAGGCTCTGCTACTTCCTGGCTGTTCTAGCTTTGGCCAAGTTACTTAGTTCTGCTGAAACTCCATTTCCTCACCTGTAAAATGATCGATAACTGTATCGTGTGGTACAGTGAGAACTAAAACATTTAGCAAGTTGTATGCCACAGAATACATGCTCAGTTACCTCTGTACATTACTATTATTATAATATTATCAGTATCAGGTGAAGGTCAGCCTAGATGAAGTCTTGAGGTTCTTGCAGTTAGTCCTAAGATCTATGAATCTAAGAAATGGAGCGCTTCTTCCTCTGACACCAGCCCCCCTGCCCTTCCCCCAAGCTACTTTCAGTCTCCATAAATTCATGTTCTCCTGATCCTCACCTTTCAGCCCAGCCATTTCTCAATAAAAGTTTGGAAAAGTCAGAACTTTCTTTCTCTCTCTCTCTCTCTCCCTTTGGCCTCACTATGGTCTAAAAAGCTTGCACCCCAACCTCAATCCATGCCGCTCTGCCCTCTCCCATGTGTCTAGCCAAGCTCTTTCCCATCCCAGGCCCTCTGTACTCAGGGCCTCCTCTCCTCTTCCCCACTGGCTTCTTCCTGCTCTCTATTAGCTCCAGGGAGCCCATCCCTGACCCTCCCTTCAATCCTCTGACTCAGTGCCTCCTTGTTTCCTCCATGCACTTGGGACCATTTGCAAGAATTTTGCCCTTTTACGTTCTGCCTCCTCCTCCACTCTCTGCCTCTGCAGTGCTTTTAAAGGTAGCTCTGTAATGAATCGGTATCATTGATGGAGCATATACTATGTTCAGACCCTGTGCAAAGATTTAACCCTGAAAAAAAAAAAAAAAAAACTCCTTCACTCAACAAATACGTTTTGAGCGCATATGAGCTAGACACCAGGAAGACCTACTGCAAAGGGCTAGGAGTCCGGAGCCAGGAACCAGCAGAAGAGGCAATGCCCACGTGGAGCCGTGTGCTTTGACAGGGAGAGTGGAGGGTGCTGTAAGGCCCCACAAACCCCATTTAACCAAGGAGGAAATTGGGACTTTGAGAAAGGAGGAGGCTTGTCTAGAGTGGTTGGGGCCACTGAGACCTTTTCAGGAGATCCACGGAGGGCCTCCCTTTTCCAACTACATATTTGAGTGACACTAGATTTTTTCATATGTATCAACTAAACAACATATCTCAAGAGACAGAATGCAGAAGTAGATATGAGAACCTAACCTTCCCTTAAGTCAGATAATTAAAGAGATTTGCAAAAATGTAAAACTATGCCATTCTTCTCAATATTCTTTTTGTCTTGGAAAATATAGTTATTTTTAATTTAAAATGTTTTTATTACTTTGGAATTGGTATTTTATTATTTTAGATGAATTAATAAATACACTTTAAAATTGTTTTAATTTCTAATACTGTAAATATCAATAAATGTAACCCTATAAACAGACATTCTTTGATGTTCTCAATAATTTTTAAGAGTGTAAAGGGATCCTGAGACCAAAGAAGAAGGAAAGAAAGAATTGGGAGGCACAAAAGTCAGAGTATACAGTAATTTTTCAATAATATTGTTGAATAATAGGAGTGCCTCCTCCTTTATACCATCTGAATTATCAGGGCACATAAATCTCACATGCTATTGCCAAGGCCACTCTTTTCTAGCTTTTTTTTCGGTAGGTTAATTTTCCAATACCAGTTTGCTGGAAAGATGAAAAAAAAAACCCTACCCTCGCTTCGAGGTCCCGCCCCCGGCCCGGACCGCCGCTCTGTGCTCCTGGCGCGCCCCCTGCTGCCCGCGGCTGGAGCCTGCGGCCTTTCGCCACACCCCCCTGTTTATGTCGGCCCACAGGGAGTTGCCTGTCCCTTTAATTGGCACGTACCAAGTCCGTCCAGGATCCATTTCCTCCCTGAGTCCCGGCCGTTAGGAGTCATTGGTCAGAGATCCAGAAGGAGGGAGTGTGGAGACTGCGTTGCATTCTTTTGGGAGTTCTGGGCGGACAGGGTGTGAGGGAGGGCACGGGGGAGAAGCGCGCCCCTGCGGCCCTCCCCGCCGCGCGCCGTAGTCCAGTCCCAAGATGGCGGCCACCATGAAGAAGGCGGTGAGTGGGGTGCTCGGGGCGCTGATGCTCGGGCGGAGCCGCGGGTCGGCCGCGGGGGGCCAGGTGCAGGACATTGGGGGTGCGCGGCTCTAAGTCCCGGTGTGGGGCCCGGGGCCGAGCCCCCCCCGGTTCTGAGAGCGGCCCCGCGACGAGGCCTGCCCTCGCCCAATGCCCCGGGCGTCTTCTAGGGCCACCGGCAAGCCGAGGCGGGGAGCCGAGGCTGGGACCCTCGGAGAGCCCTGAGCTTCCTCTTACGGTGCTGAGTGTAACCCTGGGAGCCTGAGGATGCCGCCACCCAGGCCTCGCCTTTGGAGTGTGGGACGCCGAAGGTCCCGTTGACTGCGGGTGGTCTCTACGGTGGGCGCTTACCTGGGTTGTCGCCTTAATCCTCAGCATCCCACGGGGTGGGTCCCGTTAGGACCGTCGTGGACTGCTGAGGAGCTCAGGCAGGTGGAGTAACCTGCTCAGAGTTACGCAGTCCGTAGGGGCAGAGCAGTTCGCCGCGTCCCCGAATTATCAGGCCCCAGAGCCACTGTGCTCGACCCCGAGCCGCCCACGTGCGGTCTCGATGCCCTGCGTCCTGCAGGCTACAAGCAGCACAGTGTTTACTGAGGACGGACGATGTGCCAGAGCCCAGCAGCCGTCCGTTTATCCGTGATCCTTCCAGCAACTTAGCAAATACATGGGTTTCCCCCCACTTCACAGATGGAGAAACGTGGATACAGAGCGGTTAGTGGCCCCAAAGTGACTCAGTTAGAAGCAAAGCTGGAGTTCAAATCAGGTTTGGTTTTGTTTGTCCCAAAGCACACTTTTTAACCACCAAACAGGCTAAATTTCCATTTGGGTTTTATAATCCAGTAAGTTCACAGAAGCTTAAAGATATCTAGGTAGAAGAAAAATTAAATGGGTTGCAGGGAAAGGCAAGGAAGTAACAACCGATAATAATTGAGGCCTTACTGTGCGCTAGGCACGGTTCTGAGCGTGTGGTACATATCATGTGTTTTTGTCTTTTACTCCTTTTGGGGAGATACTGTTTTTATCCTTACTTAACAGATGAGGAAACTGAAGCACAAAGGAAAAGCTTGGATTTAAACACAGGTTTTCTGACTCCAGAGCCTTTTTTTAACTGCTGTCGGGGTTTCTGATGAGAATCCCCTGGCTGAAAGAATTTGCTTTCCAGATTTTTCATGTTTACTTTAATTCCACTTTTAAAACCATATAAGAATTTACTTCCTTTACTCTCCTACTATCCAGTACTGCATCGTCTGTGCCACCTTGCCCACTGCAGTGTGACCAACCATCCCAGTTTGCCTGAGATCCAGGGAGTGCTAAAACTGGGAATGCCCAGTCGGTTCAGGATGAGTTGCTCACCCTATTTGTCTGTCTGACATCCACAAATTCTTACTGAGTACCAGAGTAGGGTTCTGGGCCATGGTGATGCAGACAAGGTGAGGGTCACTTCACCTCTACTTTATGAGGTTGGCACTCTGTTGTTAGTTATGGCCTTCAATTCCGTGGAAGATACTCATCGTGGTTCACCCCGATTTTACAGATGTGGCAACTGAAGTACAGAGAAATGAAGGAAATGTTGAGGAAATGGTAGAATAATGATTTGAATTGTGGACTTTGATTGCAAATTTCTAATTACTAATCTTTTTTTTTTCTTTTCTTTTCATTCAGTAAATTTTTTTTGACCATGTGATGTGGCACAGTCTCAGTTTTAAGTGATGGAAATAACATTGGTGAGCAGTAATGAAGTTCTTAATTTCATAGTCTCATCTTATGCTATAGTGGAGAGGCAGTAAACTAGTCTATTTTCTGTCACTGATAACCAAATATGTGAAACTGGGTAATTTATAAGAAAATGGAATTTATTTCTTACAGTTTTGGAGGCTGGGAAGTCCAAGGTCCAGGGGGCACATTTGGTGAGGGGCTTTTTGGTGGGAATGACTACAGAGTCCCATGGTGGTGAAGGCAGTCACAAAATGAGGGCTGGGCAAGAGCGCTTTCATATGCCATCCTTATAAAGTCACCAGTCCACACCCATGATAGCCAATTAATCCATGAAGCCCTGCCCCCATGATCCAATCACCTCCTAAAGGCCCTACCTTTGAACACTGTCACACTGGGAATTGGTCTTCCACATGAACTTTAGAGGGGACAGATATTCAACCCATATTAGTTGGTATTACTCTGATAGTCACACAGAAAACTAAAGTTTCCAACTTCTGAGAACAATGAAGGAAGAGTATTTGTGAAATGAGGGTGAAAACGAAGTGTGTTTTGAGATCAGAAAAGGTTTTCCTGGGAAAGTGTTATATGCACTAAAGAGGGGAAGGGAAAGTTGTATAAGGAGCAAGAGGGAATATTCCAGAGAGAGTGTATCTTGTGCAAAGATCCTGAGTGCATTTAATGAAAGGAAGGCCAGAATAATAGAGAATTGGGGGAGGAGGAGAGGTTGAAACACGATGGAAAAAGAAAATGCAGAGGAGTAAGTGGCAGCCAAAATGTAAAGGATCTTCTTTTTAGGAGACACTAAGACTCGCCTGATAGATGCAAAGTCCCCCTGTAGATGTTTCCGGTGTTAGGAAGAATTCCTGATAAGTTAGCTTACATGCACACTTTCCCCTTTTGTCCACCTAGGAGAAAACATACAGGCATACCTGTGAGAGTGAAGTGTCAGAGGGAGAGCCCTTCGAGTCTAGTAAGAAGTCAGTCATTTGCAGTCTGGAGTACTTTATATTTGTAACACATTATACCTCCCAACTGGTTGTTACTTTGCTGGTAAGAATGATTAGATGAGATGATTCAGTCCTCTTATCTTTGAAGTTTGCTTTCCAAGACTGGTTCTTGGCCATAAGGGGACATCTACACTCTGTTTGATTTCTGTTCATTATCTTAAGTACGAATGTCCCCTCCTCAGAGAAGCCATCTTTGACTTCTTTATGTAAAGAAGCCCTCTTTACTCCCTAGTCCCCCCCCAAATTTCAACCTCTAAATCATTTTGTTGTCACCACCACATATCGTCTTGTTCTTCCGAATGTCCCCTCCTCAGAGAAGCCATCTTTGACTTCTTTATGTAAAGAAGCCCTCTTTACTCCGTAGTCCCCCCCCAAATTTCAACCTCTAAATCATTTTGTTGTCACCACCACATATCGTCTTGTTCTTCCGTTGTTTGCCTGCCTCCGCCCCCAGAATGTAAGCTTGCCGGTTTTCATAAGGGTAGGGGTGTGGCTGTCTTGTCACAGTGACTGGCATGTAGGAGACACTTATTAAAAAATTGTTGAGTGAATGACTTCATGAAAGATGAATAAAAATACAAAGCAAATTTTTATATCACAGACTTGGTAGATACTTCTAAAAAAATAAATAAAAGCAGGCTGAAATTGACCTTTTGGGGACCCAGTTGTCAGTGCTGATTCAGCTCAGTGTGGGGCATGACAGAGTATGATTCAGTTTCTCCCTATAATCCCATAAGATATTAATTCTCAAGAAAAGGCTATAGTAAGTGCTCAGGGTATTTTAGTGTTCACCCTGAATCTTGAGCTATCATATTTCTTTCAGGCCCAGCAGAATTTCCTTTTAGATCTGGATCTCTTCCTCCTTTTTAATGATTTTTGGTAAATAGTATTCAGGAAATAAAGTGCTTAGGTGTTTTTTATTGGAAAGTGACTCCATCCCCAGGTCCTGTGCTACATACTCATTTTATCACCCCTACAAGGTAGGAACTAGCTTTTCTATTTTTCAGTGACAAACCTGAGGTGGTTCCAAAGAATTGAGTGATTTGCCCAAGATTCCTGCTTGCTTGGATTAGAATCCATTCTGACTCTTCCACCACTCTGTGCTGCTACAACTACTACAGAATAACAACTTCTTTCTAGAGTTTGTGTGGCTTCGTGAGTGGTAGTAACTACATGTGGCTTCTGTTAAGGCAGGAATTCCCTTGGGGTTGTGGATCCCTGTGAAAATCCTATGAAAGCTACCAAGACCCTTTCGGAAGAATGCACACACTATAAGTGCTGTTTTGCAAACAGTTTCAGGGGTTAAATCAACCTCTCAATGTCCATGGACCCTCATTTAAGAGTTACCCCCTCCCTGATAAAAAGCAGCTTCAGGAAACAGGAGTGTTCTAGAACAATGAGATTAAAACAGAATCCACTGGTGTTAGTCATCAAAGGTGCTGACTTTTTACTCTGTGCTGTGAGCAGCACACCGCCAGGCAGCACATGGTTACACTAGTGCATATTTGACTCACAACCACCTAGAGCCCTTAACCCCAGTGGGAAAACCACTGTAAGGATTGGATTCTAGGGGCCATGTGTGTGCTGGTGACTGCTGTTTGGTGGGGCAACAACAGGAAGCCCCTGCTTTGGAAAGGTGGAAAGCAGATGGACAAATTCTCTCTTCCAGTTTTCAGAAACCGTGTATATTTGAGTCTGATTAAGCATGATTTAGATTCAAATTCAAAAATCATGTATTAGCCCCAGTTGTGTGTCACACAGGTCCTGTGCTAGGTACTTTCATGTGAATTACCTTGTGAAATTCTAAATAAATGATAAATGTATCTATAAATAAAAATTAAGGTTTTCAGGGGCTCACTATTTAAACAAAATGGCATAAACTCTTCAGACCAGCAGGAACTCTTTAGAATTTTCTGTTTTCTGTTTGCTTAGGGAAATTGATAATTGTCATATATGCAAAATGACTTGAATTCAAAGGTGCCTGCATATAGACTTTCTTTTGGTTTCTTTAGCATAGCTGAGTGTTTCCCAACTTCTGTATTCATAAAAATTATGCACAGGGTTGAACACTCACAGCTGTACATATTGTGACGTGAAGGACTTTTTCAGGATGTCCTCTGGGTCTCTGATGCTGGGCCTAATGCATGTGAAGTTGTTCAGTGGGACAAGAGCCCAGTAAAAGGGAGGGCTAAATTCAGGTGTCTACCCGTACATTCTGACCACTGAGCTCTGTATTGCTTGAGACCATTGGTTGCCTTTCAACCTCTGGAGAAATGAAAGTCCATAAATCTTATGTCATTGGTCACAAGAGACCAGGTAAAGGATAGAATGTGGATATTGTGAACCTACTCTTATTGACATAGGAGCCAAAAATAGCCTGCAGCTGGGCAGTGCAGGGATCTGGACCCTTGACCTTGGTGTTATCAGCACCATGCTCTACCGAGTGAACTAACTGGCCAGCCTTCAAAAATAGTCCTTGAGTAAGGATTATTTTCTTACACTCACATCTTTCCTTCTTTAAACTATAAGCAAGTGCTCCTGTTCATATTTTATAAACTAGGGGAAACCCTAAGGAGAGTCAGGTTTTTATTTTTTATTTTTTTAAATATATGGAACTCGGGTTGAAATCAAGCTCCACTGCTTACTGCCTATGTGGGTTTGGATGAATTACATAAACTCTCTGTGTCACGGTTTCTCCATTTGTCAAATAGTAGTAGTACTAGTGATCCTACTTACTGAGATTGATTGGAGGATTAGCAGAGATGATAAAGCACTTAGAAAGTTCTTGGCACATAGTTAGAGAGCTCAATAAATGTTAGCTATTATTTTTATTATTTCATAGATACTGTATGTCATCTAAGTACTCTTTATTTGCAAATTTGCAAATTTAATCACATTAAAGATTTTAAAATATTAAACATTCCATTTTTATCAGTTTATAGTGAATTATATCTTGTTATTAATTATGACATGTAAACAGATTCTGCATTAAAATAAACATAATTTTTACTATGTGTGGCATATAGCTGCTGAAATGCATGGCGATCCTCTAGCCAGTATATCAGTTGGATTAAAAGCTACAAAAACTGTCAGATTTCTGATTGCCACAATATGCTCATGGGAATTTTGATTCTAAGGAAAAAAAAAAAAGAAAGAAAGAAAGAAACTACTGTTAGGCATTTACCAGTATTATCTGACCACATTACTTCTTGCTCCCTGGGTTATATTGATGAAAGAATGTTCCAATTTGACAAATTCTGCTTTATGCCAAAAGTGAGCTAACTTTTTTCTAACTTTCTTTTTAGGAATTATTAATTGTTCTTTATATTTGAAATCTTTTCATAGCTTAGGAATTATTCTGTAGAATATCAGAAAAAGTTATGGGTTATAGATATTATGGACAAGTCTTAAGCTCGTGGAGCAAAAAAAAATAAATACTACATTTGTTTGTGATGTTCTATACCTCTTGTGATCCTTGACTATATGAAGGCAAATAGTTATAGTGAGTCATTTTATAGAAGTATGAAAAGCTAACCTGTAACTTCTCCATTAAAATTCTACAAAAAGTTAACTTTTTTCAGGCTGCAGAAGATGTCAACGTTACTTTTGAAGATCAACAAAAGATAAACAAATTTGCACGGAATACAAGTAGAATCACAGAGCTAAAGGAAGAAATAGAAGTAAAAAAGGTATTGAAAATATTTATCTTATTTAAGAAAAATAAAAGTTTTTTATACTTCTTATAACTTATAGCTTCTTAAAACTGAATTTAGTTAACAAGTGATTACATCTCTCTGGGCTCTTTGTTGCAGATGACACAATCCACTCTAGGTAGTTTAAGTAGAAAGTCATTTTTTAAGGGATGTGAGATAACTTAGAGAATTGTAGAAGGGTTTGTCTAGGCTGAGGTTTCACGGATAAGTCCCAGAACCACGTTTTAGAGAACTTGGCTGATAATGGAACTGCTGTTGCCTCCACTGACTTCAGAGCCAACTGCCTCCACTGTGAGGAAGCTGCCCCTGCAGACCTGGGAACACTGAACTGCTTTGCTGCTGCCCCTGTAAATCTGAGGCCTGTGCGCAGCCTCTCTCCTCATGCAACTCTCCTGAGTTGAAGTCCAGTTCAAGTGTATTTGACTGGTGGAACTTGAGTTATTATTTGCTTGCACCCTATCAGCAAGCAAGGCTGAGAAATGTAAGTTTGTTTTTTGTTTTTTTAGTTTTGTTTTTATAGAAAGGCAGAATTCAGAGTGGGAAATTGTTAAAGTAAAAGACATTTTGAGTGAGCACGATACCTGCTGTCCACTCCAGCATGCTTGTAGCAATCTGAAAATATCCCAAGGACAATGTGTTAGTTAGCTCCTAAGTGCTTCCTTATGAAATGTCATCTAAAATGTTAGAAATTAAAGTCATATTTTAGTGTGCTAATGCCTTTGTGCAAGGGTCCCTCAAAGTTGTTGTCTCCAAATTAAAATTGGCTTTTACTTTCTATCTGGGAATTTTGAGTACTTTTTCATTGCTGTTTACTTTTTGTGTTTATAGAAACAACTCCAAAATTTAGAAGATGCTTGTGATGACATCATGCTTGCAGATGACGATTGCCTAATGATACCTTATCAAATTGGGGATGTTTTCATTAGCCATTCTCAAGAAGAAACACAAGAAATGTTAGAAGAAGCAAAGGTATGTTGAAGTCTTTTCCTGGGTGAGAAGTCTAATTCTTAAATTAGGATTTATATCATTATGAAGAACATGTAATTGTGGATGTAGGGAAATTATGGATGCTAGCTATTATTTAATGGCTTTTTATAATGTCCCATGCATGCTCTAAATGCTTTGCCAACATGATTTTATTTAATCTGAACAATGATTCATTATTATCCCAATTTAGAGATGAAGAATCAAGGCTTAGAGACATTATGTGATGTACTTAAAGAGACATAGACAGTGGTCTTCTGACTCCAGAAACTTGCTTTAAATGGAAAGTATTTAGAAAGTGCATCATAGGGCCGGCCCGGTGGCGCACTGGAGAGTGCACTGCTTGGGAGTGTGGCGGCACTCCCGCCGAGGGTTCGGATCCCATGTGGAGACCGGTTCCCACTCACTGGCTGAGCGTGGTGCTGGCACAACACCGAGGGTTGCGATCCCGTTACCGGTCAGTAAAAAAGACAAAAAGGAAAAAAAAAAAAAGAAAGTGCATCATATTGTAAAGTAGAAAAGAAAAATTGCCTATAATCCCACTACCCAGAGATAACCATCCATAATGACATTTTCATCTGTTTCTTTTATGTTACCTCTCTCCCTCTCTCTTTTTCTCTATGTAGTATTGCTTCATACTTTGGTCAGTTTACATTCTAGGAGGAGTATTTTCTCATTATTTAATGTTTATTTATTCAGCAGACATTCATCGAGAACCTGCTCTGGGCCAGGCACACATGCTTTAAAAACATCATTTTTTATGACTGTTTAATATCATGTTGGTGAGCATTGATTCAGCTTACTGTGCTGCTCTTGTTAACATTCATTTGTTTCTTGTGTTTTGCTACAGTAATGTTACAATGAGTATTCTTATACATAAATCTTTATTCACCCATTTAGAAAATTGTTTTGAGGAAACACTCAGAAGTGTAATTAGTGGGTCAGAGTATAGATTATTTGATAATTTTTGAGACATTTGATATATTGTATGTGTTGCTTTGCCCCCCACGGATGTGTCACCCCTTTTCCCCTGGGTGACGGAGCTTCAAAGGATTACTCAAAGCCCATCTCTTCTGAGCAGTGAGAAGCCCCGAAGTGGTTAACTTCCCTGGAACCCTCAAATGAGAGGCATTCCTTCCATTTGGGAAATTAACACTGAATTGGGGTTCTGTTCCTGCATTTATTCTCCAGACCAAGAAGTTACAGGAAGAGACATAGGTGGGGTTTTTGCTAAGTAACGTTCTACAAGTTTAACAATAGAAGCAGGTAACATTCAATAAAAACAAGTCAGATGACATTCCCTTAGACAATTAAGTGATCCACCAACAAAAGCTTGATCTTAGCAAACCTTCCTTCTCCCTCCAGCAGCTTCCTAGTAACTTTACATATCAATCAGTAACTAGTTTGTCTTTGAGCCAGCAACCTTGCTGTTACAAATCTTTATCTTATACCAGAGACTTTATAGCCTGAGGAAAATTTCTTGTCCTTTGCAAGGTCAATATTTGAAACTGCAAGGCTTTGGAAAACCAAGCCCTGTGAACTACATTTGTTTTAAGAATCCTCTATATCATATAAAATTACTTTCCTTTCTAAGTTCACATGCCCTCCAATCATATTAGAAAGAGGTGATCACAGTATTTCTATATGAGAAGCTGATGGCAGTTAAACATTTCCTAATCCTTTTGCTTAATTAACTTGAATGTTACTTAAAATGATAGTCTCCCTTCTTCAAATGTCATTTTAAAAAGCAATCCTTTCGGGCTGGCCTGTGGCTCACTCGGTAGAGTGCGGTGCTGATAACACCAAGGCCACGGGTTCGGATCCTATACAGGGATGGCCGGTTAGCTCACTAGCTGAGCGTGGTGCTGACAACACCAAGTCGAGGGTTAAGATCCCCTTACCGGTCATCTTTTTTTAAAAAAAAAAAAAAAAAGCAATCCTTTCCATGTATTAAACCCACATTTGGTAAACCTTGGGAAGAACTAACACTTTTACTCCTAGATCTTTCCATGCAGAAACATTGTGTGTCTTCCTTCTGTTTGAATCTTTTCTTTTATAGTCAAATTTTGTAATTTTGTTCTTTTTCCCCTTTTTTTTAACCATTCTAAAATGTTTGTGTTGGAAGTATTTCAAGACAGTTTGTTATTTGTGGTTATTGTGAATGCCCCTCCCTCATACACATATTGATATTGAACCTTTATTTTGTGGTTTACTTATTCATTCCAGAAGTATTTATTGAGTGTTTACTCTGTATCAGGTTCTGCCATGTACTAAGGATATGGGGGACAACAAAAATATGATTGGACCCTGCCTGCATGGAGCACATAGACCAGATGGAAAGAGAAAATTAAACGAGTAAAACTAATAATGAGTAGAAAGTGCTATGGGGTTGAGGAGACTTTGAGAACATTGAGCAGGGGAATTTATGCTAGTCTAGACATCAGGGGTCAAAGAGGGGCTCCTTGGGAAAGGGATGAGACAATAACTGAGGAATAAAAGAGTGTTACCCAGGAAGGGGGTAGAGGATGTTGCAGTCAGCAGAAACAGCATGTGTGATTGGTCATAAAACCATCATGAGGCAAAAATAGAACGGAAGGGAATTCTATTTGCTGGAGATGTGGGAGCAGCTGGAGCTGTAGCCAGACCTTGGAGAACTCCATCAATTGAATTGAATAAATTGTACCTTATCTTAGCAGGGGTCAGCAACCTTTCTGTGAAGGGCCAGAAGGTAAATATATTAGGCTTTGTGGGCCATGTGGCCTCTGCCAAAGTTACTGGGAAAGCAAGATGTGTAAATGAGTTTGCATGGCCATGTTCCAATAAAATTTACAAAAACAAGTTTCAGGCTATATTTGGCTGGTGGGCTGTAATTTGCCCACCTCTGTCCTAGAGCAAGGAGGAGCCTTACAGGGGTTTTAAGAAAAGAGTGATGTAACTGGACTTGCAATTTAAAAATAATTTTTGAGTGTCTTATTTTACTTATTTGTTTCTAGGTATAGAAATTTTATCTTCGTTCTACTAGCTGTACGTCTTATTTCTATTTCTTGTAACAGTGGTTCTCAGTCTTTTAGCATGCATCAGAATCAGAACAAGCCACAGGACTTGTTAAAAATTCAGATTGTTGGGCCTTAGGAAGCCTGGGGTAGGGCCCCAGTATTTGTATTTCTAACAGATTCCCATGTGATTTTGTCCCTGATGTTGATCTAGGGACCACACTTTGAGAACCATTGGCCAGATTTCTAAAAGAATAACATTGCCAACACTAGGTACTCTTCTTTTGTTCCTAATGTTAATGGGTATGCCATTTGTATGATTTCATATTTTTTTTGTCACATTTAGGAAAAATTGTTTTTTCTTTTATCCTAGCCTGAAGAAACTCCTAACGTTTCATGTGGGCATAGCTGCTCTGTCTCATAAAGAAGCATTCATTATTACTCTTCTCCAGAGTTTAGCTCCAGAGACCTCGTAGTTAGTGATAGTTTCTGCCAGATGTTCACCATAAGTTGGTATCCTTAATTATTGGTGTTGGTCTGAGTTTTTGTCATTTCCTCTGGTTTCACAGTTATTTTTGTGGTAAGTTGGGAGAGGCCATGTTAGGAGTCAGGCAGGCCCATGATAAACTGTTTACGTAAGTCTTTGTGTATAGTTCTTTTTGTTATTAGGATATGGTAATTTGGGAATTAAATTTTCTCTTAGCTATTATGTTTTTTAGATCAGCAGAAACAGAGAAAACAAGCTTGATTTATTCTGTGATAAGAAAATATGGACCATGAATTTAAAATGCCCACATTTCAGACTTTTGGTTTAGATTAATTATCAGTGTTCTTTAACTGTGTGTCCAGGTTTAGAAAGTTCTTGACCTAAAATTCTTCCTAAATATTATTTCAGACACAGATGCTTAGAAATCATCCAATCAGATAGATTAATTTAAACTACTTTTTTTTCCAGAAAAATTTGCAAGAAGAAATTGATGCCTTAGAATCCAGAGTGGAATCCATTCAGCGGGTGTTAGCAGATTTGAAAGTTCAGTTATATGCAAAATTTGGGAGCAACATAAACCTTGAAGCTGATGAAAGTTAAACATTTTATAATACTTTTTTAATTTGTTTAATAAACTTTTGAATATTGTTTAAAATGATAATTTCCCTCCTTCAAATGACATGGAAAGAAAAACTTTCTTTTTTTAAAAATTTTCATTTATTTAATGGAAACTTGCCTATTTTCACATGTCTTGCTTATTTATTTTATATTTTTAAAAAAAGACAGTATTCATCTATGTATTTTGCATAATGATTATATCAAGTCTAGGGGCTTTACATCATGTTATTAAAATCAGTTAAGCAATCTTTTATGTTTCTATATTATCATTTAGAATATTTGTTGTAAGTTTCATTTATAAGAAAATTTAACAATTGTATCATGTTGTTTATGTGTCTGATTTTAGTTGCTATCTAATGATGGTGAAAACACTACAAAAAGGTAAACAGTCTTGCATCTGTCTGCTTTACTTATTTCCCAACTAAAACTTTGTCGTATACAAAAAAATATACCTGTATATATTTTATTTAAACATATGTTATGTATAATTATATTTATAATATCATAGATTTTGGTAGAACGGGTAATGTTCAGACATGCTGAGGCATGTCAAGCTTTATATAAACGTACTTGTAGAGCAGAACACTTTAGATACACAGGTATATAGACAGAAATGTTTAGTATTTTTTTGCATTATAAGTTTTAGACTTTATTTTAGTGATTGTAATTAATTAGGGTTTATGTTGATAATGATGTGGAAGTTAAGCAGGTATGTATTTAAAAGTAAGACTTCTTAAATAAAGAATATATTTAACCCCTACTCCCTCCCCCCAAAAATACACATGTTGGGATTAGGGAGACCTAATTGTATTAACTTTCCAGCAGGTGGCATTGGTATGCCAAAATACAAATGGAAGGATCATAATACAAAAAAGAGGATATTTTTAGGATTAAGTGTGCATTATTTTAGAGGAAATATTATTTTTAAACTTTTAAGTCTAAACGTTGCATACTTTTTGTTAAATGTCTATAAACATTAATTTATGCTTAAAGGTATATGAATACATAATTTTTAAAATTCTTAATAATATAAAGTCAAACTTCTAAATTGCTGCCAAATCTTCCCAAACAGTGGTATTCAAACTCTAGAAAGTGACTCTTACAAGGATATTTCTTCTTGCATGTGTTTGGTTAATGTTCAGTTGGAGGAGTGAGGCTGAGGAGATAATTCAGTTAGGTTGTATCAGGAAATAGGTAACACACTCAAATTAGAATAATTTGAGAAAGTTTTGTCCAAGATTAGAATGATGGAGCATGACCACCAGGGCCTTGAGTACCCTGAAAGGGCAGGGGAGGGAGCAACTGCCCCTTGACTCTGGAACCCAGGGAAAGGCTACCTTCATTTGAGGAGGAGGAATATGGCCAGCCTGCATCTCTGCAGTGATAGAGCCAGAGGACTAGACACACACTCATTCTCTCTCCTCCAAAATCCAGCTGGGTCCCACCACTGGCTAAACTCAACTGGAATCCAGAGGTGGTCCAAAAAAGTCACTCTTTTACAGGGCTCAAGAAGGGTGGTGGGTGAATGGATGGATCTGGAGGGGTCAATGGAAGATCTAGCATAGGAGCGCAACTCAATTTTAATCATTTAGAAATTTTAACAATGAATGCTCGTTTATGATATGTGCCAAGAAACTGAACTATATAACTGGCCAGGACTTTAAGTTTTGTCCTGTCCCTTACTGAATAAACCTAAAACAAAAAACAAATACCTAACATGGGGAAGGGGAGGGATGCAACATTGCTATCTCATTTTTCTTAATTTACCTGTGAAATTTTAGGATGTCAGAAATATATGATCCCCATTTTAAATGTATTTCTAAAGTGTCCATAGCCTTTTCTTATTTGGGAGCCAGGTTAAAACCAGTAAACAGTATGCACTGCATCTGAAAGGAAAGGAAAGTGCCAGCTCCAGCCAGTTGTTGCCACATCAAAGGAAGCCAAAGGTAACTTGGCTTTTAGCACAGGCCAAATACAGTTTGCAACAGGTTTTCTTTGAATCTAATAGTTTTTAAAATTTTTTGAATTTGTTGCCACAATAAAATCTGGACATTTCACGTAAAAATTCACAGTTTGGCAACATTGAAACCGTATTTCCAAATGGCAGTCTTCAGCTGCTCATCCATTAGACCAGGCAGGCTGTCCCCAGTCCCCACCTTCCCTCATTTGTGTTACCTGCCTGCTGCCTGTCCACATTTGCCTTTGTGACCCCTGGGAACCTGCTGGGATTGTTAACAAAGGTAGGAAAGTAAAGTGGAGATAGGGAACGAGGCTGAGGCAGGGGAGGGTCAGAGAAAAGCATGAGTTTGGCATTGGACACTTGGAGTTGCTGGGATGTCAACCATGGGAAGATAATGTAATTGGCAATTGGAGAGGTGCATCGAAACTTGGGGTATGTGGGATGGGGGACATGTATTTGAAAACTATTTCCATCCTAGATGCATGCTTCTTAACATTTAAGGTACATAAAAATCAGTGGGGATTTTGTTAAAATGCAGATTCTGGCTCAGTGGGTTTGGGCTAGGGCCTGAGATTCTGTATTTTAAACAAGTTTCCAGACTACACTGATATGGCTAGTCTATGGGCCTGCACTGGACAGCCGAGGTAGCTGGTCATGAAAGACAACTTAGGAAAAATGTATGTGGGAGGAAAAAGAACCTGCAAAGGAGGCAAAAGCTGTGGTTGTGACGGGAGACCCACAAGAGTGCGAAATTCTAGAAGCCAGAATGAGAGGGTTGAAGGCAGGTGGGAGTGGTGAACAGCAAAAGTGACAGAGTGACTGAGGAGAGCTGTGGAAGCAGAGCTCTATTGCATGACTAGGGAGTTCTTCAGAAAAGGGTTAAATCTACCCACCATACGCACACACCTGAGCTCCACCCACACCTGAGCCCACACACACACCTGGGCCCCACACACACCTGAGCCCCCCACACTTCTGAGCCCACACACACACCTGAGCACCCCCACACCTGAGTTATTGGCTCACTCCCATCAGGCACCAGTGCCTTGTGTGGCACTTGTGTGCCAAACTTGCATGGTTTGAAAGTCTTCCTTGTGATGTATCATCAGGTGCTAAGCATCAAAAACACATTAAAATATTCTCTAGTTTTGTGGTTCTCAAAGTGTGAATGTGAGACCGAGTTCTTCAGAAAAGGGTTAAATCTACCCACCATACGCACACACCTGAGCTCCACCCACACCTGAGCCCACACACACACCTGGGCCCCACACACACCTGAGTAAAGGGTTAAATCTACCCACCATACGCACACACCTGAGCTCCCCACACACACCTGAGTCCACACACACCTGGGCCCCACACACACCTGAGCCCCCCACACTTCTGAGCCCACACACACACCTGAGCACCCCCACACCTGAGTTATTGGCTCACTCCCATCAGGCACCAGTGCCTTGTGTGGCACTTGTGTGCCAAACTTGGATGGTTTGAAAGTCTTCCTTGTGATGTATCATCAGGTGCTAAGCATCAAAAACACATTAAACTATTCTCTAGTTTTGTGGTTCTCAAAGTGTGAATGTGAGACCAGCAGCATCAACGTCATCTGGGAACTTGTTAGAAATGCCAAGTTTTTCAGAGGACTAAACCCTGAAAAAAGTTTCTCCCATTAGGCAATAATGTTGACAGATAAGATGGTCAAGACCTTCAAAACCTGTTTCATAGAAACTCTGGGGGCAGAGCCTGGTGTTTTAACAAGCCCTTCAGGTGATTCTGACTCAGCAAAGGAACTGGCCTGGCTCAAATCAGTCTTTTCAGGGGTGAGAGGATGAGACTGGACCATCAACTGAGAATTCTCACTGCAGATTGTTGTGATGGAAAGGGTAACACGATATTGGAGCATCAAAGAGATCGACCCATTTAGCTTGGGGGTGGAGGGTAGCTAGAGGCATCCTTGTTGCCTTTTTTTTTTTTTTTTTTTTTTAAGATTAGGGAGTGTATAAGTACATGGAGTGGATGGGAAGGATCCAGGAGAAAAGTGATAAAAAAGTGTAGGGACAAGACAGTGATTGGAGCACAGCAGAGGAGGGTCCCTCCTGTGAAGGAAGAGGACAATGTGGTGCTTATGCAAGCAGCATGCAGGCAAACATGAGGTGGGCATTTTATAGAAACTCTGCCTGGAGGAATGAATGACAGAAAAATCGTAGGAATAATGATTAACTCCAGAGGGAGAATAAGACATGGCTGGGGAGGCCAAACAAGAGGCTTCAATGATCTTTATGTTCTACTCCTTGGGCTGGGTCATGAGTCCGTAGCTATTTATATTCAATATGTTTATCATGGACTACTTTACGTGCATAAAACATTCACAATAACAAGTTTTTGTAACTTTCTGTTATGGCACCATATAAACTGGGAAAATGTGCACATTGGGAGGTTGTTACTGATGTTTAACTGTGTCACGTTCGACATTTTTTTTTGACATTTGACATAAAATGGGGCATCGCGACTCTCCATTTTTAGAGGTAGAAAAACAGCAACAGCCCCAAATTTTAAAGTTACCTTAGACATTTAGTACAGAAAATTGTTTGGAGAACAGTCATTAGTACTAGTTTGTGTAGAGGGTGTTCCTGGTAGCTAGTTCTCTGATCCAGCTTCCATTCTGTTGTCTCGGAATAATCCTGACTGCAGCACCGACAACTAGCATAAGAGGGTGTTCCTGGTAGCTAGTTCTCTGATCCAGCTTCCATTCTGTTGTCTCGGAATAATCTGCAGCACCGACAACTAGCATGGAGGGCTTCCTCGAGGAGGGCTCTATTCTGAATGCTTTGTGTGTACTAATTCCTTCCTTTCTCCCAAGAGCCTTTTAAGGAAAATTCCATTACCTTCCCTCATTGCACAGATGTAGACAAAGGTTTAGAGAAGTTAAAAATCTTGCCCCAGATCTTACAGCTTACTCAGCAAATGGGCGGTGAATAAATGCACAGACTATAGTTTTGTAGTTTATTTTGTTTGGTGATTTTATTTGTGTCCTTTAATTATCCAGAAGATTCCAGATAGCTTCATAGATATGTGTGTGTATAAAAATATAGATACAACATTAGTAGAACAAGAAAATAAAGGATGACAATGAGCTGAGTAAAAAAGGGAAAAGTAAAAAAGCAGGCCACAGAGTCTACGTGGTAGTTGAACATTCTCTGAGCTTCTGTGTAGCTAAGGCAAGAGAGAAATGGTGAGTAGTACCATATTAGAAAGGGCGGTATATACCAGTATACCAGAGAAAAAACATTTTTCGGAGAACTAAATCCTGAAAAAAATGTTCCCCATTGGGCATTGACCTTGAGCAATGTCATAGATATTAACTTCAATGACTGCTTCACAGCAAATACAAGAGCAAAATTCACACAGCCAGCTCTGGCAGCAATCTAACAGTAAACCTTGATCCAATGAAAGCAATTCTGAGAGAAGCTAATAGCAAAGAGCCAACAACCATTGAGGCTTACCTGGAGCCGGAC